GGATTTTTTAATATATATATGTATACATATATATTCTCAAATCTTCATTATATCTCATAGTTTGTTTGCTAATTACTCAATTGGAAGTAAAAAAATTATATGTAATGCTTTTATTGTGCTTTAGTTTTATATGCTTGTGTTGAGGAAAGGTAACGAATATTTTATACTTATAGCTGCATTGAAATAAATGGGTGCTCTGCCGATTTTTTTTTACAAAATTATGTGTATTTATCCAGTTATTGTTATGCCTTCATGATGTTACAGTGTCAATGAAGTGATGAAAATTTTTAAGAGATTTATAGTATTCGATTTCATTTTTCAAAGTGTTACAAAAGCCCATTTTTATATTTAGTACGAAAAATTGCGTAAAATTTTATCTACTATGGATGTTTGATGGATGCATGATCAAGTGGTTTGAAAGTAGGTGAATGAAAATGCACAATTATAAAAACACTTTTGAAGTATACATTTAAAGTAAAGTATTTGCAGATAGTTACAATGTTTTACAACAATCTATTATTTAAGTATTAATTACTCCTCCAATTTAAATCATCTATCCACTCTCTCTCCACAAGATCTCATCCTTCTGACTCCCTTCCATAGATCTGCTTCATTTCAACATTCCTTTATTGTCCGCTCCACCACCTTTTGGAATTCCATCTCACTTAAAATCCACCATACACCATCCTTATCCACATTCAAAACCCTCTTATTTCAATTCCTCTTCACAATCCAATCAGATGCTGGCTCATTATGTATTATTTAACTAGGATTATTTATTTTTTCTTTTCATACACCATTATTTTATTTAACTTTTTGTTTATTATTTCTGCATTGGAAAACATTCAGTATCACTTTTGGCATAAGCACTGTAACGCATACAAAATAAGAGATAGTTTGTTGTTTGTTGTTTTTATCCATTTTTCTATTTACAAGATTGTATATATTTTAAATGTATTTCATTTTTTACATTCCTCTCTTTATGTATATATCTTTTCCTATATTAATCTCCGGGTTTATTTATAGTTTACAATACCATTGCAAGTTCTCATTCTAAGTTCTGAAGTAATATATATATATATAAATCATTTATTTTCTTTTATTTTTTTTTATTTTTGTTGCTGCAATTGTTTTCTCATAAAATTAATTTAATGCCCCTTCCTAATTGTATTAATCTATTTATTCTTATTTTATATCTCTTATGCCGGGATAATGCAATATTGTGATCTTGTTGCTCATCTTCTGTCATTAATATATCTTTAATCTATGTATATATTTTGTATGTTTCAATATAAAAAGTCAATACTTTTTATTTACTTACTTTTGATATATATATATTTTTTTCTGGAAATTGTGCTTTTTCTTTCTATATATGTAATTTTATTTATTTATTTTTTAGTTGTTTACATACTATTATTTAAGTTGTATTTATTGTCTAAATCTTTATTAAGTTAGTTTTTGGCCAAATATGTATTTTTACTTTCACTTACGTATATATGTAATATATAGAAAGGGTAAGTATTAAAAAAAAAAAATAATGATACCCATGCCACTACAATCCTTGAAGGATCTTGGGTTCAGTACTATTTAGGGAAAGCACTGTTTCTTGGTCTACCTTTGTGTAAGGAGGTGATTTGACTGAAATCACGCTCAACTGCCTGCTTTTCATCCTTAATTAATTCTTTTAATTAAGAGTACCACTTTATAGAGGATGGGTGTGCCCCAGGAGGGTCTACATACCCAGAGTAGCCCTATGGTGAATGAAACAGAATAAATAATTTTCCTGCCATGAGACGGGATTCGAACCTGGGATCTTTAGCATTGGAAGCTCAGATCCCTCCCACTGAGCTACCCCACTCCCCAAGGATAAGTATTGCAATTGTGAACATTTTCGAATCTGAATTTTCAACGGAAATACACGTTTTGGGGTACCCTGACTCCAAATAACCAAGTTCCGAAAAATGGTCTGTGTGTTTGTATGTTAGTAATCTAGCTCAAAAACAAAACGTATGAAACTGATATTACGTATTTAAGATAGGTATATGCCTTAGATGTGACAGCAACTTTTTCCTTAAAATCGGCTTACCGGACGTGTCACTTTATATCTACATGAAACACATTTTTACAATTTTCTCAAAAATGGCTCCAACACTTTTGATTAAACTCTGTGTATCATTGTATAATTAAGTGGTCTTTAACATCATTTAGGTCTTATCCCCATTAATGTCACTTTACAGAGTTTAAATGCCCAATATTCATATGCGTCTTCCTCTAAAGTACCTTTAATATAGTTTATTTTAAATAATTAACTATCTCTCATTATTAAGAGTTGCGAAAAAATGCTAAATATAACTTTAAAAGAATTTGATAATTGAATAAAGGAGAAAAAAAATAAAAATGCTTATCCAGGTTGAAAATGAATCTCTGGAAATACTAATCAAAAGGTACACGTATTATATATCGTTGGAAAGCGGAGAATTTTAGAAAAAACAATATCTAATATAGAAAGTTGTAGAAGATAACGGAGAGTGGCAAAAAAATTATAAATAATAATTTTTGAAAACTCATAATATTTAACGTAAATCACATGTTTTCAAGGAAATTAAATGAAATTTACTAACTAAATGTAATCTTTTTATTTAAATAATTTTAATTTTGAAAAAATATTTAAAATACACCTAATCAAGGCAATGACATTGTTTAAAAAACTATTTCATTGTACTTGAGTGAAAGAAGAAGTAAAATATAACATCATTTCATGGATGTATAAAGCATATGTTTATAACAACCTTAAATACATTTACTCTGTAGTTTAATAATTCTAGATCTGATATTATATTTAAATAATTGGGTATCGACATCCGTTTATTCTGAAATATTGTCATGTAACTTTTTAGAAAATTAAATTAGTGAATAATTTGATGAATCTTCCCTTTGTGATATTCCAACAGTACCCAGTACTATTTCATTGTGCTTATGTGAAAGAAGAAGAGAAATATAAAAATATTTCATAGATACGTTTATAAACTTTAATATATTTACTGTAGTTTAATAACTCTAGATCTGATCTTATATTTAAATAATTGGGTATCAACATCCGTTTATTCTGAAATATTGTCATGTAACTTTTTAGAAAATTAAATTAGTGAATAATTTGATGAATCTTCCCTTTGTGATATTCCAACAGTACCCAGTACTATTTCATTGTGCTTATGTGAAAGAAGAAGAGAAATATAAAAATATTTCATAGATACGTTTATAAACTTTAATATATTTACTGTAGTTTAATAACTCTAGATCTGATATTATATTTAAATATTTAAGTATCTATTGTCCATTTATTCCGAAAAATGATCATGTAACAATTTCGAAAATTAAATTAGTGAATAGTTTGATGAAATTTCCCTTTGTGATATTCCAACAGCATCCACTTACAATTAGTGACAACTTTTGACGTTTCTATGACAGTCAATGCAAATCTCTTAATTCCGTTTTAGTAAACTTTGCAATGAAAAATAACAGTTTAATAACTAATAGTCGTACAATCCATAATCAACGGATCATGCAATACATAATCAATGGATCGTACAATCCATAATTAACCGATGATGTAATAAATTAAACTTTTTTTATTTTAATGGTGTTTATGATTTGTTTGCTGTAATTTTTTAGCTTTAGCTCAGTTAAAAATGCAATTCAAAATTTTTATAATAGCCCAACATGCCCAAAAAATAATTTCTATTCAAAGTTGAGCGGTAAGTGAAAGTGAAACTGTTGTTATTCTAAGGGGACATTGTCCCAGAATTAAGTTTATTTCCTATTCTATTCTACTTGTTGTGTGCTGTATACAATATTTAAAACTTAAGTTATAGGTTGGCCACTATTTGTTGTACAGAAATCCCCCCCCGATACCACTTACAGAATATTTAAACATTTAGAAGATTACAATATCGTTTTTAATTATATGTATCTATTTATAAGTAATATAAAAGAGCTAGGGTAAAAACTAAATATTAGGTTCAACTTGATATTGATGATTTTCAAGAAAAAAATTACACTTGTTAGTTTATTTGAATCATGATCCTATGTCCAAAAAATATGATGGCTTGGTGCTAGTTTAACAGAAAAAAATCGAATAAAATAACCATGGCTTTACAAATTAATGGGCTTTTGTAAAGTGGGAACCATGAATTGGCCGACACCTCTTGGTTCTAGACAAGTCTATAGAACATTCCTTTAAGAAGTATGAAAATCAAAAATATGGCATATATCTTTGTGCCTATGCCTGGACACTTTCTTCGTGTGTTGTTATTGTATTCTATAATAAGCACTTGACCTTTATACTACAGGATCTTTATTTTTTATGTTTAAGTTATGATTCTTCTTACATGGTTAAGTATAGACCTGGTTAGAATCTCTCATCTCAGTGGTGTTGGACATTATGGAATATAATGGTATACAAATAAAAAGTAAGGACAAGTGGACAAGTAGCATTTTAAATTAGGAAATAATTAACTTTGTTGACTGTTGTTGTTCGAATAATTACGTGAAGATAGCCTTAGAAAATTAATTCAGTATGGATTATCAAGTGTTTTTATTGGCTCTACTATAAAATTAAAATTTGATCTTGTTGGTGTTAGTAAGTACCCTATGCCTCCAGTGCATATTCTATTTCTGGTTCAATGATTTAACCTTTAGTAGTTTACTTGAGAACTCAATAAAAATTATATTGTCATTTTAAAATTTACCACATGGGAAAAAGTTGTATTTAGACATTTATTATGTATATTTATATAAAGACCCTTGTCTATGCAATTGTGATAACTGGCAAAATTGATTTAACTCTAAAAATTGTCTAAGAACATAGTAATAACTAATCCAGTTAAAATGGTTGACATTAAGCAACTCATTATTATAATAATGAGTTGTATGATGATAGAATGTATACGTATAATTAAAGCTACTGATTTATTTTATGTTTTCTTATTCCATTTTTTAAGGAAGAGGATGTGAGTGTCCACGTTAGTAATGTTAAAGAAGTATTCAACAGTGGAAAATCTTTCCGGTTTCAAAAACGCCAGGTTTCAGATATCACAGAAAAGTTAAAAGCAGAAAATAAACTGTTTTCAAAAAACAACAGATTAAAGGTAAGGGTTATAAGAAATTTGTAAGTTTTTTTTTAGTAAATTTAAACATTTTATTACATATAAAGTAACGCTCTACAAATTCAATGCATGCATAGTAATGAATGCAATACATATAACTTTAAATACTTTCAACAAATGTAGCTACATTATTTTTATCAACATAAAAGCAGTAAAAATTTTACAAATTGAAGTAATACTATTATGATTGATATGTATCACCTTACTGCTTGTTTTAGAAAAGTATAAATAATGAAAGTTGAGTTGTTTTTTTTTACAGTAGTTAAGCAAAATTAATGATTAAATATTTTTTTCAGAATCTACCTAATAAAAATTAAAAATAATTTATCATTTTAATTGTTCCCAATAATTTCTTAATAGCCAGAAACTAGGCTGTCTTTTTTTTTTTTTTTTTTTTTTTTTCATTTGAAGTTATTGAATTTCCAAACTGTTTATGAATTTGTTAGTCTTATTTTTTATTTAGGCAAAATCTAAATTACTGTTTAAAATTTTATTTCTAGATCATAAAATTGTAAAAATGTAAAGATATTTTTCCATTCACTTCTATTGTAAATTATTTTAAGTCAGAAATAAAGAAGACATTTAATTAAAGTATTATTAAGTAAATCTAAATTACATTAGCCCACCCATTGAGCAAAAAGTTTTACACATTTGCCTTTGCCAGTGTTCTTATCCATACCCTGTTAATACCTAGTTTACAGCTTATAGGTTTATACATCTTTACATTTAAATTGTTTAAATTTTTAAACATTTAAATTTACTAATCTAAAATGTTATTTATGTACATGTTTGTCATCTATAGCTTTATGATGCTTTTTTGACAATTCTATTTACAACTTATTACTTCTGATTTTTCCTTCATTGACTTCTGTGATTTACAACAGGTGATCAACTGTTTTCGAACTGGTGAGAACGAGGAGGAAAAAGAGCTAACAGTTGTCGACATTGAAAACCAACCACAGCAGATCACGAATGAGGCACCCAAGGACTCATGTAGTTCGGTAATAGGTTTTCCTCATCCTGAAACAAAAAAATGATAGGGCTATGATCATTATTGTTAGAAAAAGTAAAGTCATTTTTGTTTTTCTTAGTAGAAAACATACCTTAAAATATACTAAAAAGCCGTTAGAAAACCAATATGATAAAATTAATATTTATAATGTATTGAAAAATTTTTTTTTTGTACGTTAAATTTATTTACCAAATAAAAATATTTAACCTGGTGATGTCAATAATAATAAAAATATATCTCTGGTTTTAGGTTAGTACTGAAGAACAATATGTGTATGATCTGTATTATAGTAGTGGCAACTTTGATGATCTGCTAATGGAAAATGTTTTGAGGTAGGTTAAGATCAACATTTTTAAATTAATTATTTTGAGAGCTCATTGTGAACATGTAATAATCTTTTTAATAAAAAATGTTGAAATTAACATATAGTATGTTCATTTTTGTATAATGTACAACTTTTGAGGTCGGTTCAGTTGTTTAGCTTGAGGATAGCCACAATGGATAATTTTATACAACAAATTTAAGTATTTACAACTTTTGAATAAAACTATTATATTGAAAAAAAAGGACAATGTCATGGCAATGAGAAAAATAACTAACCACCGCAATAATTAGCTGCTTTGTAACCAGGAAACTGGTTTTCCCCTTATGTACAACTCACTCCGGGATGTATAATAAATAAAAGATTTAATAAAGGATCAGAGATAAGAGCAAGGATTTCACTGTCAAAAAAAAAAAAAAGGCACAGTACTTTATCTGATCGCCCTTTTTTTATTTCACATTAATACCAAATCTTAAAACATAGTTATTTTAATACCATTAATTAAATTTATGATTTGTATTTTTTTAGTGCACATGCTGTTGATGAAGATCTTTTGTTTGGCGATTTCTTAGATAAAGATGAAGAAGAAGATGCTATCATGGATGATGAAGATGATTCTAATGATGAAAATAATTGGCGTAATGATTACCCTGATGAAGAATCAGATGATTCCAAGTCAAGGTAAATATCTATTATAATGTTATTTTTGATGAAAATCATTGATATGCATAATATTTTTATTTCTACATTATTCCGTATGTACTTTTGATAGTATTGTTCTATTAAAATTACTTAATACAAAAGAATAAAAAAAAAAGATGTACATCATATGAGATAATTAATTTCAAAATTCACTTTTTTTACATATTCTCAATGCATCACCTAGCAATTCATAGGTAAAAAAATAGATCAATTTTTATTTTATTTTTTGTATGTATTAATTTTATTTATTGTTTGTTTAGCATAGATGAAAGGCATTTGAGATTAGCTATGCAGATGAAAAATATTAATCTGGGTGAGTATGGTTTATTTTAACGTTTAATTTAATTTTCAAAATTTCTTATTAGAGAATAGTATATGTAATATGATCATTTTGATAGGAACTTCATCCATAAATTAAGTTTGTTATTTTATAAATGTTATTCTGGTAATTGGGAGGGGGGGAGGGATTATCTAGAATAATTTATTTTGGTTGTAATTGAAATTTATAAAAATTAAAATTTTATATTATATACTTTTAAATAGGATGAATTTTTTCCTAGAAAACTGAACAATAATATTATTTTAAGACTTCTGAAAGATATCTGCATGTTTTATTATTGATTTTTTTAATTGCATTATTATTTCTTTCTTCATGAATAACAATAATTTATCAGATGGTGAATATGAAAGTGATTTATCGTCAGACCAAGAAGACGAGGCCCTAATATTTTGTGATGATGATGAACGTGGTTATTACTTTTGTGCAAGCTCGATTGAATCTGATAACTCAGATAGAAGTGACAAGGAATAATGAGATTTTTCGTATGAAGAATGTATCAATTATCAAATTTGGTGGATAATTTATCATCTATATCACCTCTTAATGTGATAAAATGATTAGGAGGTCATATAAATGAAATAAATTTGTGTTTTGGTTTTTGTGTTATTACAATGACCAATTGAATTAAATTTATTCCTTGTAGTGTAATATGTGTATGATTATTAAAGATGCATTATATGTTTGTAGTATAAATTATAATTTTCTAGTAATCAAATCTTGACTTTATTGTATATTTATTTAAGCTGAAAAAATGTTGAATTAATAAAACAACTAAAACAATACTTCTAATGTGAACCTTTGCATTTTCTTAAATTCTTGAAAAATAATGAATACAATATTTTTTTAATTCAATTTTTTGTCCAAGAATAATGAAATATATCCAATTCAACGGACATTGTTTGTTGAAGATCTAGTTCCTTTTCATTCAAACTTTCTTTAACATCACAGTCCATGTTTGCTTGTACATTTCCTTGACAGTGTCAAATTTGTTACTGAATTAAATATCCAAATAAATTTTCTTGCAAGTAATATATGAGTCGTTTATTTCCAGAGTGAACCCCTTGACAAATAATAAATTAAGGAATTCTTCATTTGTAGCAAATATTTCCAAAAATCTCTGATTATTTCAATAGTAATTAAAAAGACATCGAAACTTGTAAACTTACAAGGTCCTTTTTGGAAAGAAATGAACTTTAAAGCTTGTTTTTGGCCAAAAAAAGATTTGTTGGGGTTTGGTTTGGAGAGAAAAATTGGTGTATGATGAGGGAAAAAAAGTTATAAAAATTATACAATGCAAAATTAACTATTTGTTTACACAGATGGTACAATAAAATAAGTTAATTTTTAGTTTGAATTTGAATGAAACAGTCAAAAAAGCTTTTGGTCTATTATTTTTTAAAGGATACTTAAGAAATACAAGTTTCATAACATTCCTTAAAAAAAATAAATCATGTTTCAGAAACATACTTATTTTCACTTCACTTTCTTGATTATTTTTGGAAAATAATAATTGCATCAATGCATTCATTGGGTGTTTTTGCATGGGTTTTATTTTCATAAAAATTTATCAGTGTTCACTTTGAAAATAAACGATTCATATGTAAATGCCCTTTCGATTACGTTTACATCATAACTCAAAAATTTGTAATAAAGTATTTTTGATTAATATTTTGTCTTATTAAACAGGGCTGTCAAAATTATGTCTTACTATGCCTTTAGTTTTCTAATGTGATAAGTTTTGATTATTAATTCAGCTATATGACCCATAAATTGTATATTTGTGAATTTGTAAATATTAATTTTTTATTTTTTCATTACTAACAGTTGGATGAATGAAACAATAGATGTTTGATGATTTAAATATATTGTTTTCTGATTGGAAGTATTAAGTTGTAAATACACAAAGAATGTATATATGGTATTTATAAATAAGCTGAAAAAAATCTTGAAAATGTAATTAATTACATTATATTATTTAATAATTTTAAAAACAAACAAACTTATGACTATTACATATGTTACCACTCCTATTACATATGTTATTGTTACGCTGTAATAAGAATTTAATATTTATTGAAATGAAAAATAAATTTGTTTACAGATGCACTCAAAACTGGAGTTATTTGTTTTCATTAAAGTTTTGTATGAAGAATTTTTATAATATTTTGGTTGTGATGTTATTTATTTCTTCATTCATATTTGAGAATTATTTGGATAATTGAATCTTGAGAATTGTTATTTTAAATTGTTTCTATCATAAATCTGTTGCCAAAAGTTGAACTCTTATACATCTGACCCAAATAGGAATCTAAATAAATTACAATTTGAATTTATTAAATAGTATTTTATTTACTGAAACTATTTTATATTGCTAAACATGAGCAATCTATTTTCCTAAAAGTTGAAAAAGCTTTTCTGAACACTATTAAAAAATATTAATGTATAAGTAAAATACCATAGGAAGAACCTGTTATCGAACATGTGTTACTTTAAAGAGAAAAACATTTCCTTCTTTATGTAGCCTTCAACTTATACCTTAAGAATCAGGCATTTGTTTGCTGGCCAATACATTAGTTTTTAGAAGTTTGGAAGAACCAAAAAAGATAACTCATTGCATAGTTGGTGAACTTTAAAATCAGGAACCAAATCTGTTATTTTTAACATTTTTAACAATATTTGTTTTGTTTTTCAAATTTTAGTTGCATTTTTTTTTTTAAACTTTTAAGTTAAAAGTTTTCTATAAAAGTTGTTTTTCTATTTTTAATTAAACTTTTATTGGAATATATTGAAAATATTCCAAGGAAAAAAGTTGACCTACTTTCCACTATTTTTATTGCAATTAAAATACATAAACAATTTGTATTGATTGAGGATGATTCATAGATTGTTTTGTCGAAGTAACTTGGTATGTGGTTTTCCAAGATATTTAAGATTATTTCAGTTCCTTAATAACGCTACTGATAACAGATATACAACATATGTATTAAATATACTAATACTTATCGATTATATTATGTTGAAGTTGAATATTAAATTTTTTTCATTAAAAAAATCCGTTATGGTTAACTTATTTGAGTATTAATTTAAAAAATACTCGCAAGATATTTGATAAATTTACTTTTTGATGACGTTGCTAACTAACTTCCCTTTTCTATTTCAAAAAAATGTTTGTACTCTATTGCTAGATTAAAAGCAAATCACTTTGACCAATATGCTGCTACACATGATGCTGTTATATCCAGCTAAAATTACATTGAATTGGGATATCAAGTATAAGTTCAAGAGACCTGATTCTTGTCACGACTAGTCAATCTAGTTGGTTTACTGCTTCTCATGACCTCATAGGTGGTATTTAGTATGTATATGTATTCCTTAGTTTTGTAATCCATTCATGCCAATATGGCTCCCAAAGTAAACAATCACCTACCAATATATTATTAATACTTTATTATACTACCCTATACCCTATATTAATTAATTCTGGCACTAGATTAATAAATATTGCGCAAAAACGATTGAGGGCTGCAACTATGTCACAGAGGCCGTAGTTCTCCACCTATAGGCTATAGGCTCTTAGTGTTAGGGTCTTTGTTTAGGATCTAGGATTTAATTTTGAGGGCTTCTGCCCGAAAGCTTTTTTTTATATATATAGTAAAAATGATAGTAAAAACACAAATGATAGTATATAGTAAAAACACTAACTACCTATATGAAATAGTGTTTAAGTGATTCTTGAGGTACTATTAAATATAATTACATGAAAAATACTACTTTTGAAGATAGTTTTTTAATATTCTTTTCATAAGACCTGGTTTTATTTTACCATTTTTTTGGGAGGAGGGGAGGAAGGAAAGGACTTCAGCCCGAAAGCCCTCCCGTTGAGCTTGAACCCCTCCTTATATATTAATATGAAAAATTGGCTGAGCCTATTATTATTGGTAGTTGTTAATCCAGTTCTATATGCAAGATTGCAGATTTAATTACTATTATTATTTATTATCTGATTTAATCTCATAACCTTAAAGTATATTATGGCATCTTTAGTTTAAAGTAATTTTTAAATTTGCATAATTTTTACTTATCAATTATCATTATGGGCCATTGATTCTGTAGAACTTGCTTCTTTGAAGATATGCAAGGCAGGGTTGTTTATAACTTTTATCCTAACCATTTATCGTATTCGTTACTTAATGTTGTTTTATTGTTATTAAATAAGGACAACATTTTTAAGACCATTTCAGAATGCTCCCTTAAATAAAAATTTCATTAAATATAGCAAAATATTTAGTTTAAATTTTCAATTATTTTTTATCCCTTGAACCAACTACATTTCCCACTCGAGCCAAAATATTCACACAAGCCACACCTTAATTTAGTAGCGAAATGCTTCTTTTCTCGAACAGTTTTTCCTCTCTTCCCTCCTATTCGCTGTATAAACTCCTGATAGAAAATTTTGGGATGGCTTCCTATTCTTCTTCCAGTGGATTGAACTTCTGACTCTTTTTAAGGTACTCTTTCATCCTTCATTGGACAAAAGTGACCAAACCACTTCAGATGTCAATTTTCAAGAGTTTTCTTTAGCTCCACTACCTTCAGCTCCTCCCGTACCCGTTTATTTTTGAAACGATCCCTTTTAGTTGTAACAACAACTCTCCGCATGAACTTCATCTCAGCATCTGTCACCGGGCTGGCCTGTTTGTCTAGCATAACCCAACTTTCACTTCTGTAAATTAGGTTTGGTAGGTACTTTATATACAGACTTGTATATATGCATTTTAGTTTATTTTCTAATGTATCTGTGTCCCACTATAGTGTTGGAGATTGAGTAATAAACCTAGTTGGCTTTGGAAATCCTATTTGCTACTTCTGGGTAAATCCTCCTTATATTGCTAATGGCTGTCCCCAAATAGGTAAATTCCTTTACAACCTCGAGCAACTCGCCATTACAGGTCAGATGGATATCCTCTTGTTTCTCTCTTGAAAAAACTAAGATCTTGCTTTTCGAGGTGGATAGCCATTCCTTTGCGGAGGAGTTCTTCCTGGGTTTCTGGGAACTCTTCTTCCACAAGAGCCTATTGCAGGTTGTTTTTCGTCTCTGCTATCAGTACGATGTCATTGGCATCCAATAGGCTTTGAACCGTAACATTGCTCATGTTCCTTTTACAAATGACCATTCAAGCAGTAAGGCGCTTACAAATTTTATGGATTTAATCCATAAATATGATGAATAAGAGTGGACTGATGCATTAGACCCTTCTGAGAAGTGTCCTTGATAAAACTCCCTCCATCGCTCAAGAATTTTCATATCTATTTTTGTGTTGCTGCTTGAGTCTTTGAAATTTCTCACTGGCTTACTTCTTTTCCCTCTCAAGGTCTTTACTTTGCACCAGAATTTTTTAATACTCTCACAGTGATCTTCATCGCAACTTTTTCCAAACTTCTCCAATGCAATTCTTTTTGCTTTATGGATCACTCCTTTGCATTGTTTTGTCTTGAAGATAGTCTTTCCATGATTTCTTCTTTAGTTGAACAATGCGGTATGCTTCTTCATTCCACCATTCTGTGTGCTTTTGTTTTCTTGATATTTTGTGCAAACCACTCCAGACTCAATGTCCTTACTTTTTTTTCTACTTTTTTCTACTTTCAGTGTTAGAGGTTTTCATTATGGGGTCCTCTACAGCTCGTAAATTTTATGCACAATAGCTCTTTTCTTTAATGGGTCGTTTCTGCGGAATTTTAGTAACGACTATTAGTAACAGATGATCGCTGCTGATTTCTGTACCACTTTGATGTGTGGCAAAATACTATCTTATGCCACGATCATATATGGAATAGTTGATGATATTGTAAATTAGTAAATTTAAAAAGTCAAAAACATGGCATTACTGGAATTGTTACGAATGCAAGTGAGCTAGTGCTAAAGTATCTGATTTTAATAATTATAATAAAATGGCACAGCAATTCTCAAAGCCTCTCCATTAGTACCTACCTACATTCCTCCTTTCAGAGAAACTTCAACCTTACAGGGTCTGCTTTAATGTATCATCCTAATTTTGTCTTGGTAATTAGTTGTCAGTAATCATTGACTATCTTTTGGAGATTTGTAAAAAAATAATTATTTTGATAGTCCAAAAAATGTCTTTTTAGAAAGTCTGCTTATATTTTGTGCTTTAATTGGAATGACCAAATTCAGTAAAAGTTCCATGTGGTTACCTTGAAATAATTTGTGAAATTTTCTAGCAATTTACCAAGAACTGTTTCGTCAGAATTATGTAATAATAATAATAAAAGGCTTAGCAAACCCTAAGATCCTATACGGACACCACCAATCGAGCTTATCACACAAATCCCTCCACTGGTCGCCGTCTTAGCCCAGCACCTTCAGATGGTCCAGGCCATAACGCAACCTCCCATTTTCGCTTCAGACGTTTTCCGTCTACTCCTTGGACGTTTTCCAGTTGGCACAGTAAATCTTAACTTTTTAGAAATTCTTTTGTTACTAAGACCAACAATTTTACAAGCCCATTTGATTAGCTGCGATGTAATCACCTCAATTATATTAACCGGATACAATTCACGAAATTCGGTGTTGTGTAACCGTCTGAACTCTCCAGTTAACTCATCCTTCTTCGGTCCGAATATTCTACGCAATACTTTGTTTCAAAAACCTTAAGGTGTTGCTCATCTCTTAATGTAAGCGGCCTTGTTTCATATCCATAAAGAACTGTGGGTAGAATAATGGTTTTATAGTTCCTAGTTTTTAAGTTCCGGGATAAGAGGCACAAGCTAAGTAGTTTTGTCACATAAAAATAACAAGAATTTTCCTTCTTCAGCCTAATCTTAATCTCCTCTTCAATTTTGTGTTTTCTAGTTATCGTAGACCCTAGATACATTATGTAAACTGATCATTAATGTTAAGATAAAATCAAAATTTCTTTTTATTAGCAAAATGAACTTTTCTACTCAAAATGATTTTGAATACAAATTCTCGGAATCTATTCAGACATATTTAGATTTGAAGTATCTCTTGATAGAGGATAATACTATGCTTTTTTATTGTTTAAATATTATATAAGTTGTTTGAATTGTTCTGGTTATAAAGATATTATTATTTATAGTTAACAGATATAATTATTTAATAGGCTATGGGAATCAAATAAAATATTACCTTGTTGAGTTCGGGCTAAAAGGGTTCTTGTGATGTACAATTACTTCTTCCCTTTAGATATTTAGGTGCTATGGTATCTTCATAAGGTTCAACACCTGCTTTAGCCATATCATCCCTCACCTAAAAGTAAAAATAAAGTTTTATTACATTTTTTTTTATTGTGAATAAACTAAATGTCATATATAAAGCAAGAATAACGACGGAAAATGGTTGACTGTAAATACTTTTATTGTTTGAATGTATTGTTTAAAATTTTTGTTTGTTTATTTATTTCTGATGAAGGTCTAAAACTTAGATCGAAAAGTCGGCACAAATAAAATAATTTTTTTTGTTAATCAGTCTGACTGTGATCCCCTACTTTTTTTTTTCTAACGTCTCTTGACTTCCGTCATTAGTCATCTAGAAGCAACGGGGCTGTTTAAGACGACAGCTGTTTGGTTCTCTTAGATAGATATCCAGGAGCATGTCGGTTATAATAACCGACGCAATCACAAATCACTCCCTCTTCATCAGAATGGTTGGCAACCTTGGCAGACATATTCTTTCTGCTGTTGTTTTTTACGAGATAGAGTTAATGGCTCTTTGCTCAACTCTCAATCTGAAGGACCAGGAGCTATGTTGTATGATAAGAGTCACTCACCTTCCTGTGATTTCAGAGTGGGGACGTTACCGTCTCCAAGCAGGAATCGAACCCGTGCCATTGTGATCTAAGCAATCGAGTAGGGACTGCACCTATTTATTTTAATTTATTATTTATTATTTTTATTTTTTATAATTTTTTTTTCTAAATCCCGCGAATGGGATTTAAACTCGTAGGATACAATTTGCAGGCACTTTAACTCGTTCGATCACTGTGTCCCCTTAACTCCCAACCAATTTCTTCTAGAAAACAAGAATATTTGAGGGATTTTTGAAACTCACTAGAGCGAAGATGCTTGGATTAATGTGAAATAAAGTTGTGATATCTACCTGGTCGTTTGCATTTTGTATGCTGTGGAGTGTTTGGGAACACTGCCAATTAGTTTAATGAGAAAACTATGAGGTCCTTAATATGCATATATTTTTGCAATATGAAGAAGATTATTCATTCTATAGTTTCACTGCAATTAATTGGCAGCCCGAGGTGAACTCATTCTGCAAAAAGTTGAAACATAGTTTGTTTTTCCCTTACTCTTATAATATTTCTTACAGAATATTTACTAATGTATACATAAATTATAAAGTTACAATATCATCTTTCAGTAAGTGTATATATTTGTAAATATTTTGTAAAATAACATTGAAGAGTCATAGAAAAAACAAAATATGAGTTTCAACTTTGTGGTGCATGAGTTCACCATCTGGCTGACTACTAATCGGAGAAGAACTATAGTTATAGTGAGCAAAAACTAATGTCTATGACTCTACTAGGTTCGCATAGGAGAGAAACTTGAATCGTGAGGTAAGGGACTAGACCGCCAAACCTACCTATTGCTCATTTGAGATCATCACTGAAAATTTATTAGAATATTATGAAGAGATAATAATTTATTGAAGAGAATACCCCCGTGTCTTGTTGATTTTTGATTGTAGGGAATTTCAAGAAGGTAAATAGATAAATAAGGCCGACATTTTTTTTTTTAATGGCCCGATGAACTCAATTAGTTTTTCTTTTTAACAAAGATAGTTCGCGATTTCAAAAAAATAATTGTGTGTATTTTTCTTTATAGATATTTTTTTTTGGCGTCTATTATTGAACATTTTATATACTTTGATTACATATACAGATATGATTTAAATATACCTTTTCAACTTCTCTGAGAACCCTTAAGAGATTGAGTCCTGCTAATTTCTTTAGCTCCTCTAGGGTCCATTGTCCAGATGCGATCAACTCGGCAAACAGTGCTGGGTACATGGAAACATCTTCTAAACCTTTTGGTGTTCTTTTTTTTTTTTTTTTTTAAAAGAAAAAAAAAATTATTTTTCTATAAGAAATGACATTATTTCATCAAACAATATTTTTAAAATGATCTACTTACGAATTTATTCCATCGTAGCCGGCACCTAAGCCAACGCAATCCACACCAGCAACTTGCCTGATATGGTTAATATGTGCTGAAAAAGAGAAGTAGTTAATTAATGATGATCTGAATAATCAGGATGGTGTCTTGTGATTGAATTTGGGGAATAATTAATAAATAAATATATATTTCGATTGTAACTATTAAAATATGTGCCTGTCGCTCGCAGGACTTGGTATAAAATGTGAACAGTATCAATAAAATATTCATCTAGAAATTGTTTTTGTTTAATCAATCTAGAAATATTGTGTTATGAATATAGAACAGTTTACATCAGTGCAGACCTTAGGGTGGGGCATCGGGGGCAACCGCCCGATCTTCAGGGGTGGTTGTTAGAAATTAAAAATAAATATAAAAAGTATTAAATAATCAATGTTAGCCTACTTATAAAGCAACTTTATTAGCTGAATGTCGACTGAAATAAAATTCAAATATTACACAATATAAAACATCTTGAGAAATAAATTAAATTTTTTAAGGGCGAGGATGACGTCATTGCCCGAGGGTGCCGATTGTCTAAGGCCGGCACTGGTTTACATTACTGATAATTGTTGTTTTGGGAGGAGTTTAAGCTCCTTTATAGATCTATTACAAAGCAATCCGTAGCCGATATTCAGTTCCATCATTAAATCAAAAATCCGGAATAAATAAAAAGTAGGACATTATTATGTTCTATTTTCTTTTTTTTTTTTTTTTTTTGATTTCTCCATTTCTCATCATTTTTTAAATACCAGAAGGGGGGAGGGGAGGTTGTTCTTGAGGTACAACCAAACTTATTTTGACTAGAGTGAGAAGATCGAAATACATTCAGTTGTCCCGCCACTAAATAAATTTCATCCCACCAAGGTTTGATCAATTAGACTCTAGAATGTTGAATTTTACTCTTCAATAAGTTCGACCACTATCTCTATTATGTTCTATAATCCTGTAATTATTAATATAAATCTTCTTCAAATAATTTTTTTCCATGGTATTGAATTTCACTAAGCAACCCTATGCAATCATTTATTCTAGATAAAATATAGCGAAGTGGAAAACAAGCAAATACAACCAGACGGTATCCATATACTTACAAGGAGATAATACAGTCTGAACATCGAAAAATATTAGACACATATTCTGGCGTTCTTTCCAATGAGCTCCAGGAGCCGACAAATATTTTATATAATTTCATACAAAATTTATGTTACATATTTTTGCCTTTGCTTTTCCTGGATGTTTAGGATACTACATACATATATATATATATATATACTTCATTTATAGTTTAAAAAGAAATGATTTCTACTAGTTATCGATGTCGGTTGGAAGAGTAATAATTCAGCTTTCCAATGGTTGTACTGATGTTGAATTTCGAAAAAAATTTGGGAAGTTATCGGCCAGAAAAAAATCTAAGAAAATCAAGTATAAACTTTCCCTCTGTGAACCTTCTAGATCCCCTTCCTCAGTTTTCCCAATATCACCTGATGACTTAAACTCCCACTTTATATCGGTTTCCACCTCTTCTTTACCCTCCCCTTCCGGCTTTTCTCCAGAGGCATCTTTTAATGACAATAATTTTTATTTTTCCGACATTTCTCCCACAGACCTTATTACCGTTATAATGAAATCCCGTTCCAATTCCGTAGGCCCAGATGGCATTCCTATCAAACTAATAAAATTATGTCTTCCTGAAATCCTCCCAGCTCTCCTTTTCATCTACAATTTCTCCCTGCAGAATTCAATATTCCCGACCTCTTGGAAAAAATCCATTGTCCTTCCTTTAAACAAAAAGCCTAATCCATCCTCTTCCGAAGATTTCCGCCCAATATCAATTCTTTCCAATCTTTCCAAACCCCTAGAAAGGTTAGTGCAATCTCAAGTTTCCAACTTCCTTGAACAATCCAACCAACTCGATCCTCTCCAATCTGGCTTCCGTCCTGGCTACTCTACACAATCTGCTCTGATTAAAATTACCAGTGATATTCAGTCTGCAATAGATGACAAAAAATTAACTATACTTATACTTCTTGATTTCTCCAAAGCTTTCGATTCCATTATCCATTCCATCCTCTCCAACAAACTAAAATCATTATCCTTCTCTAATAGTTCCATCTCTTGGTTCCAGTCTTTCCTCTCACAACGAACCCAAGCAGTTTCCATACCTAATCAACCTCTATCTGCCTACCTTCCTTTATCTTCTGGAGTTGCACAGGGTTCAAGCATGTCTCCTCTTCTTTTCAGCTCTTATATTAATGACCTAAATGATTCAATTATCCATTGTTCCCATCACCTTTATGCCAACAATTCTCAAATCTATTTATCCTTTTCTCCTGCTGAGTTATTGGTGGCATTTGCCAAAATTCAAGAAGATTTAGATCGAATTAGTGCCTGGGCCAACTTAAATGGATTAAGGCTAAATGCTGCCAAAACTCAGGCCATTCTCATTGGTTCCAAGCCCCTTCTTAGATCCCATACCAACTTTCTCTCACTCTATCTAAACAACCACCCCATCACCTTCTATCCCTTTGTTAAAAATTTAGGCTTTCTCATAGATCAAACCCTTTCCTGGAATCACCATATCTCTCATATCTCTATTCTACCCTCAAATTATTCCATTACTTCCACCATCTTCTACCCCAAAATACCCGTAGACTCCTAGTTTCCTTTCTCATCTTTCCCTACTTTGACTACAGTTGTGTGGTGTACGATGGCCTCTCGGTAGAACTCCATGATAGACTCAAAAGACTTATGAATAGCTTTGTAAGATTTGTAATTGGGACCCCGAGACGCTCCCGTGTCTCCCACCACTACACTGTGTTAGGGTGGCTCTTCCCCTCCTTAAGAAGACAATATTTCCTGGGCACTTTCCTTTATCAAATCATTACCGATCATCGTCCTTCTTACGCCTACAACCTTCTCCAATTTAAGTCCTCAATCCATTCCCTCACTACAAGATCCCGACCCTCTGACCTATACATCCCTTCTCATAGATCTGCCTCATTCCAAAACTCCTTTATAGCCCGCTCTGTCAACTTTTGATATTCCCTCCCGATCAAAATTCGACATGCCCCTTCCCTATACACATTCAAAAACCTCCTATTCCAATTCCTGTTCCAAAAACAGATAGATACCAGCTAACTATTAATACTATATATGTATTGTGTAGCAATCATAATACTTGGTAAAAGATAGTACATGCATTTCCTACTATAGACGTAGAGATTACAATACATACATTTTTTTTTTTATTCAATTATAATTAACTGTTTATTTATATATATATATTCAAGTAAAGTTTTTTTTTTATGAAATGAACTCATTCTATCTATATAATCATAATACTTGGTAAAAGATAGTACATGCATTTCCTACTATCGACGTAGAGATTACAATACATACATTTTTTTTTTATTCAATTATAATTAACTGTTTATTTTTATATATATATTCAAGTAAAGTTTTTTTTTTTTATGAAATGAACTCATTCTATCTATATATAGTTTTGTTCATAGTTCAAGTGATTCGTTCATAGTTCTAATTGTTTTGTTCATAGTTTTAAATGCTCTGTACATAGTTTTATCTGCATTGTATATAGTTTGTGCACCTAAGGTTTTCTTTTCTTTTTCTTTTATTTTTTGTTTCAAACTTTTAGGCCAGTAATATTCTATTCTTTTGTACAATATTGTTATTCTAAAGGGACTTAGTCCCAGAATAAAGTTTTTTTTATATCTATCTATCTATAAAATTTTACAATTTTAGATTTCTATAAAAATTCTTATTTAAGAGTTTCAAAGGAAACTAATAACTAATATAGCTTGCTTTTTCATAATAAAAATTTATTTGAATTTTTTTACCGGAAGCGCCTTTTGGTTTTTGTAATTTATGATACATTACAACTCATTCAATAGTAATAGTAAACACTTTTTTCTTATTTTGCACAAAAAAAGAAATGGGTTTATATATAATACCTATATAATATAATACCGGACAAAGCAAAGGTAAAAATAAATAACATATATTTTGTTAGGAATTATATAAAATATTTTTTCTTGGTTCTTCGATCCCATTGAAATGAATGCGGAAGTATGTGTCTAATATTTTTCGATGTATTATCATAAAAAAAAATTTGATTGAAATCGGTGACCCACAGACAGTATCCTTTCCTTGTTAGTATATTAACTTACAATTAGCTTAGTGTGTTGATAACACTTTTAAAGGTGTCTTACCTGCCGCATCAGCTATGGTAGCAGTTTCTTTGCAAGTCAAAAATTGGGAATAAAAGTTAACCATCACCAATCCTCCATTTAAGCTCTGAAAAAAAATATTGCTATTTTATGAAGTGATATTATATAACTGCAAGATAATCTTATTTCAGAATGACATATGATTCCGTGTGGTATATTTATATTAGAAACATTAGAAATCATGACTGTTGAAAAGAGTTGAGAATAGTTTTAAATTTTATTACAAGAGTATTTTGCAGAAAGAAATGTTCTATGATTAATTTGAATTAAAATTAATTCTGAAATGAAATAAATTATTTACAAACTATGTATCTATTATGAAATTACTCACAACTTTAGCAAGTATATGATCTGGAACATTCCTGGTGCTGTTACAAAGTGCTCTAGCTGAAGAATGAGAAAATATAACTGGAGCCTTAGTTGCTTCTAAAGCTGCCTTCATTGTGCGCACAGAAACATGGGACAAATCGACCAACATGCCTAGCCGATTCATCTCTTTTATGATGATCTATAAAATGGAAATAAATAATAATTAATCCTCAAAACAGAACTATTATTAATTTAATAATAATTTGACAATAATGAAAATATTAAATTAATTTATATCAGATTTATGATTTGAACTTCTCGCCATGACTATATTCCTTAAATATATAAGTAGAAATCACAATATATATATTATTAGGAACCAAGTTCCCAGTTCCCGCCGCCGCACACTGGGGCAAGCTAACACTACTGTTGGACATTGGGGGAAAAAAAAGTTTGAAATTTGGAAGTTTTGCTGCTCTAGGGACAAACTAATATCGTTTCTCCATCATGTCCACTAATTTTTAACTTGTCGCATTAACAATGTCCTGATGTGAGATAATAGGAAAAGGAATGAAAACTATTTTTTTAAAAATATATTTAGAGCTGATTTGCTTGTATTTTTGGTTCAAACCTAACGGTTTGAGTACCGGCAGGATTAGGAACTTCTAGTGAATTCTATGAAAGCTGAAACATCGGTTTTCATAAATAAACATAGTTGTTACGACTTCAAACAATTGGAAGCAATTTTGGTTCATTTCGCTAATCGCCCAAAAACTAGATAGACCCCATTGTTTGCAAAGATTTGAATTTCTAAAAACAGTTTTTAGACCTTGCCCCAACCTATCACTTCGGAAGTTATTGAGGATCTAATATGCGGGAACGTTGAATTTAGAGTGACTACCATTTTTATTTAATTTTTTTTTAAATTTATGTATTCGAGTTACGATCGACCCATTTTTTGACTAAATGACATCTAATTGTCTATGCTGACCAATTTATAGATATATCACGAGTTTAATAGCTAAGTTTTAAAAAATATAAAAATTTTTTTATTATTACATTCATGCAACTTTATATATTTATGTTTTGGTATAATATCACGTCATGAAATAGGTGATAAATTATACAATATCTTAACAATGTAATGTTTACAATAAAAACTACAAGACATGAATTTTAAACAATCTGTTGGTATCTACCGCGAATATTTATCTTCCGTGAAATACTTATATTTACAGTACTCATATTGCATGAAATAATTATTTTCCACGAAACAGTCAATACTTTTTTTGTCTCTCTTCATACTTCTATCCACACCTGTCATACAATTGACAATAAGCAGATGTGACCTCATAGTGAAGAAAATTGTCATTTAAGGCATGAGGAAGATTAGTACCCAGCAGTACCTCTTCATGGTCTTGGTCTACTTCATAATTAAGAAAAAGAGATCTCTCATCCAGCTCCTCTTTAGTCGTCTCCTGTTGGTCACGTCAGCTGTGGCCACGTCGTTGATAAGTCCGTTGTGGTGTCCATGTAGTTTAAGATGAAATCGGGAGTAAGATTACGTATGTGTTGACCGATAGTGGGTTGTTGTAGGTCGGTATGTAAAGTTTTGTTATTTACATAACAGGGAGCAGCTGTTATTAGTCTTAAAATTTTGGATTGAAATGATTGTAGTTTTTGTAAGTACGTCTTTTTTGTAGAACCGTAAATTTATGAGGCGTATGTCCGTCCATATGGGTTTGAGTAGGTAAGTGCATATAAATAGAACTTGATAATTTAGAGAAATAATGTCAAAACATATTTTGTTCATAGAATATTTGTTTGAAAGAATTAAAATAAAAATATAACTGTTTATCAAAATATTGCTGACATTTGAATAAATACAATATATTACTTTTGATAGTCGAAGAAAAAAATTATAACAGTAAACATGGCTTGAGTTCAAATTCAATACTTTCAAAGACATAAAAAGACAAAATTTGAGCAATATAGTGAGTGCAATTTCCGAATTAGTTAGAGCCGATGTCCAAGAAATCGTACGCTATCCCTAGTGTGCGGTGTGTGGAGGTTGATAAACTGGATAAGAACTTGGTATTTTACTATCAATTTACAAAAGATTTATTCGGTTACTCGGCAGTGCTTGGTTCTCGGTCTCTGTAGAGAGGGCACGAACCATTGTTAGCTATTTTATTTCTAGAAGTTACGGCAGGTTAAAATAATTTATTCATTCACCACTGGCTAGTGAATGATTACTTCTTTTTGTGTCATCAGAATGAAATAAATTGAAATATCGTTGGCCTTATATATGAACTTAAAATCTTGAAATGCTATCATTGATGTCATTATTTGGTCAATGAGGGACATTATAATAAAAATGATATGTTGGCTCTTTCATGAACGATCTTGAAATAAAATAAAACGTTATCTGATTATATTACTAAATCAATAATAAAGAATTCACTAACTAAAGTTATGACATTTACCTTTCCGAAGTTTGTTAATCCACCATGTTCTGGCTTTCTGCCTGGGATATCTACTAGTGAAGAGTCTGCCCTGAAATATGGATACCATTTAAATTAAAAATAAAGAATTTTAATATTGTAAAAAATAGTCAGACGGACAGCAGCAAGACAAAACATATTATAACAATAACAAACATATATTATTTACAATAAATTTATAAGTTTTTTCATATTTTAGGCAATAAAATTTCCAATTTTCTTCATATTGTTTTATTTATGCTTGTTGTCTCTTACGTTTCGGGACAATTTTCCCATCATCAGAGCAATATTTTTATTTTTACATTCATTTTTTTGATGTGGCACCATTTGTCAAATTTTTTAAAAATTATTTGGTGTTACACATATTCACCAAAATATGTGTAATACGTGTAATATGTGTAACACCAAATAATTTTTAAAAAAATGTGACAAATAATTAATTTTTGACAAATGGTGCCACATCAAAAAAATGAATGTAAAAATAAAAATATTGCTCTGATGATGGGAAAATTGTCCCGAAACGTAAGAGACAACAAGCATAAATAAAAAAATATGAAGAAAACTGGAAGTTTTATTGCCTAAAATATGAAAAAATTATAAACGTAAGCTTCCTTATAAAAAAAGAAAAATAAGAAGATAACTAAATTTATAAGGTGTTCTACTAGTCATTAACGAATTGAGATCATTGCAATTTTTCTTGTTTTTCAAAATTATTTAGGACTTTCCATTTAGTCTTTCTTTATAATCTAAATAATGGAGAACAGGTCTTCTGACAAATTTGTTAATTTTCTTATCTTGTTATATCTGTGGTCAGATATCGCCCTTTTATCTTTAATTACATACCCGACATTTATCGTTACTCTTTACGTTTAAATGAGCGATTTTGAAATATTGACCGCATAAATACAAAATCAAAATAATCTTTAAGATATCGTGACACTGTCTCAACCATTATGTAGTGAAACTTGTCTGTAAACATTTTTCAAGATTGTTTTTTTTTTTTTTTTCCGGGCCTTCTACTCTACGTCTAATAATCTTTGAATTTTAATATCATTATAATTTCTTGTTCCAATTAACTTTTTTTTAATATTTTTTTTTTCGTTAGGATGCGCGAGGCAAAAGGGAGTGAACGGAGGGGGAGGTCAAAGGTTCGACCAATCTTTTGGTTTAATTGTTCAAATCATTCAGAATGATTTCCCAAATGCATAATCAATCTTTTATTGATGTCATATCATAAGTAATTTAGTGATTAGGTATATATGTCATGAATATAAATTGTTAAGAATTGAAAAATAAAGTAAGTTGATTAAAAAAAAAAAAAAACAGACGGCGGAAATAACCCAATTTATCCAAAGGTCATAATAGCGTATCATTTCAGATACTCTCCACAAGACATTACGACAAGCAGATTTCGTCCTATACATAGATGCATTTGAAATCCGAAAGAGTGTTGAGTTTCGTTCGCGAGTGAAAGGCACCCGGCTTCTACACCAAGTTTAAATATCTATAGACGTCAATTTCACTTCTATCAAGCTACCAATTTATTTAAGGAGGTAAGCAAGTGTTTTCCTACTAGGTTGGATAAGTTTAGAGGTTTTGTTTTAACATAAATCATTTATTTTTTTACCATTGGGTGTTGCAGGTTGATGTTAATGTTAAATATCTGACTCCCAATTTGTACAAAATCCTCAGCACTGGCAGGCTGTTCGCTAGGGAATGTCCCCCCTCCACACCAATCATGCTACAAATCTGATTGTTTTTGTGAGCGTCCAGTATTTCTGAAAACAAAAAAATTAAAATGCAATTAGCCAATGAATAAATCCTATTTATCTGTTGGTATATCAGAAAAAATCTGATTATTGCTTAACCAAGAAAAAAGATTATTACTTCACCCCCTTAATATATCGGGTTGTCCGGAAAATAATGCAGGATTTTGGTTTAAAAAGAAAAAAAGAAAGATTTAAAACTGTTTTACATACTCCACAACTATCAGTACATTTCTACCAAAGTATTGACAACTTTTCCATTCCTCCTGAATAGAGTTTCCCATCTTTAGAATCAATAAAGTCCAAAAACGCATTTTCTAATTCCCTTGGTCCATTAAATTTTTGTGTCTAAAAAATACAATAATCCGTAGGCGAGAGGTCCGGAGAGTAGGACGGATGTGGCAGAATTTCATATCCAAGCTCTAACAGTTTTTGTGACGTCACACGTGGCTGGGTGTGATGCAACAAAATAGGTCCCTTCCGATTGACCAAAGATGGCTTCATTATTGCCAATTTCTGATGCATTGCATTAGTTTAGTTACAATACGATTTGGCACTGATGGTTTTTCGAGGATTTAAGAAGCTATAGTATATCAGACCAATTGATGCCAACCATACAGCAACCATTACCTTTTTTTGATGAGTTGGGGGCTTTGGAAAATGTTCTGTTGCTTCTCCTTTGTCGAGTCACTCTCCAGAACGTCTACTGTTATGGTAATGTATCCACTTTTCATCACAAGTAGCAACGCTGGACAGAAAAGGGCCGTTTTTGTTTCGGCAAATAAGTGTAGCACATATGTTTTTTTTTGGCGATCGTTTAATGTGTGTGGAACCCGAATTTCGAGCTTTTTTCCGTTTCAATAGCCTTGAAGTGGTCATCGGCGGTCGATTTGCTAAGTTTAAGTTTTCCTGCAAGTTCTCGAACAGTAGTTCTGGGTTTTTTTTTTCCGTCAAAGTCCGCAGAACATCGTCATCAAGAGAGGAAGTCTTTCCACGACCTTCTTTGACTTCAAGGGTGAAGTCTCCCTCATGAAATTTTTTGTACCACCGTTGAGCAGTGCACTCATCAATGCTGCTCGTGAAACAAAATTATACGAAAATCACGCGTTGACATCTTAGTAACGACTGAAATATTTCTAAGCAGCGGAATGCTACATATAATCCTTTGGAAGATGATTAATTAATATTGACATTCATGCAAATGAATAATCCAGTAAACGTAAACAGTTTTTTATATAGAAGGGGTATTTTAAAGAAAACACAAAATCCTGCATTATTTTCCAGACAGCCTAATACTTAAATAATTACCTTCTTTGTAATATTTGTATGAAGTCTAATATAATATGGTTAAGATAAGATTTAGCATAATAATTGTACTATTTTATGATAAGTTGACATTTTGCAATAGTGTCCACTTCATAGTATCTTATATATGAACCTTTCAGTTGGCAGAACGGCTAACTCCATTTTCAACATTTTTTAGTAAAGTCATTTTAGTGATATTTCTAGTTGGAACGTTCATGATATCTGTACAGACAGTGAGTATGTATATTTCAGAGTAGGTGATTGCAGTGTTTAAATATAGAACTGGGAATAAAAGTATAAATTTTCTACTAGAAATATCACTAAAATTAATATTAAAATATGTTGAAATTGGAGTTAGTCATTCTGTCAACTGAAAGGCTCATATTACAATGACATAATTGTTTGTTGCTAGAAATGGTAAAATTATCTTGATTTGGATTTAATTCCTGAAAACTTTCCTAATTCCATCCTATTTTCATTAATATTTTTAATTTAATAAACCTTAACAACATTATTTTAATTATACATTTAAAAACAAGACGAATAATATAATTTTTGATAATTCTGTGCTATATCTATATTTGGTTGGCCAAGTTGAAATAAAAATCTAGTTTTTATTTTATAAGTTAAATAATAGACAATTGGAAAATAAACTGAATCAAAATGACAGAAAACGAATTAAGAGAGATCAAAAATACAATACTCCCAATAAAAAAATACAATAAATCTAGAAATTTGATATGAAGGCACACATATAAATTAAAAAAAAATATAACGTTTTCACAACATATTAGGACATTATAATATATATATTTCCTGTGCTGCTGGCTCTTGTCATATATACCACATATATATATATATATATATATATATATATATATATATATATATATAGTATATATATAAGTTCGATATCATAATGTTCCATAGAAATCATTTATGTAATATTTTTCATTTTAGTTACGAAACATGCTACTAAAATTAGTGACCGTTGTATTTATTCAAGGGAACAAAAAGTAAATAATATAATACATCAGAAATGCTGTTGGTATAGCCTAAGAATAGATAAAAAATAAATTCAACCGTTGGGGTCCTACTGAATTCCTGAGAGGCCCTAGGCATATTCTAGATCACAGAAAAATTGCAGCTGCTTAGTTGAAAATGGCTTGGACATATTAAGAGATTTCCATGGAAATCTCTTTTAGTTTCTATGAAAACGTTTATTTCCCATTAAAAAAAAAAAATGTTTTATTTATCTGGATTCTAGGAAACAATGACATATCAGACAATAGTAAAGCTGAGGAGACGACAAAAGCTCCGTCATTGATCTCACCTTCTGACTGTTTTGACAACCATTAGAATGGCATATACTCAGCCATGATATCAATGATAATAGACAATTGTCAATTAAACTGGATCAAAATGACAGGAAACAAATGAATAGAGATCAAAAATACAACACTCGCATGGAAATCATCAATTAAAAATAGTATATGACAAGAAGTCATACTCACGAGACTCCGAATGGATACATACTACCATCAATATTTGCTGAATGGAATAGTCATTCCATTATATATGGCCAATCTGTGGAAAATTAACGTACCCATGACTGTCAAACAAAACTGACTGATTGCAGACGATTGATAGGTACTTGTCTTCCATACCATTTAGTGACTTTATCAAATGATTACAATCCATACATTCGTAATATATTTTATTATTTATAACAAATGAATGTATATCAGATGATCTAGAGACATATTGTTTTCCCAAATTAGAATATAAGATTATGTCTTTTCTTGTTTTATTTCTCATTTTCTATTATTTGTTTTTACATTTTCTATTTAGAGTTTTTTTTCCTCTTTTCCAAACTTAATTCTGATGTTTATTTCTGTAAACTATAGAATATGAACTGTTATCAATATTTCATTGGAAAACATTATGACAATACGCCTCATATAAACTCTCCATTACTTAGTAGGACCTTATATATTATATATTCATTTATCTATAATATTAAGCTTTCCAATTATATTACTAATCTTGTTTCCGAAAAATGCAGATATTATCTAAATATTTAAAAATATGTAATATGTAAAATAAAAGGACACTTTAGCTGCTTTTAAAAAATAAAATAAACTACCGAAGAAACATGTAGTATACTTAGAAAAAAAATAATATTTAAATTCGATCTCAATTTATAAGTCTTGTTCTGGTCTACCATGTGATGGCTTGAATTCCATTTTCATACATCCACGTGTAGCGCGCTGATTGAAAATACTTGAAAGTGGAATATTGAAATAGTTTTTGGACCAGGTCTGGGATGAAGAGATCGTTGCATTGTTGCATTAGAAAAAAATGAAAAGTTAAGACTCCTGTCAGGTTTAACAACCACAGCGCGGGAGCGTCCACTTTAATCATTGACAGACTGAAGTGGACATGCCAGGCGATGAGAGCTCTGAGTGATGAATAGAGATAAATCAGGCTATTAAAGCAAAAGAGGACCGTGGTTCAGATAGAAGGATCTTGTTAAGCGAGATAGGACGCTCACTCTGATGTTGATTGGCAGCCGGCAACCTCAATAGAGTGAGATGTAAGCTAGATCCAATATATCTGTAGTTGAGGATGTGTAGATAACTATTTGCCTACGTTAGGACAAAGGATTATAACTATTTAAATCCACGTCATATTTTTAAACTATAAACCAAATCCTAATGTTTAGTTACACTTTAATTGAACCTAATCAATCATATTCATAAAACCCCCTCCACACAATTGGTCTGTCCTAGACAATCTAGCGGATTAATAGTAAAAATATCGAGAGTGAATTAAAAGTTGGTGCAGTTAGGAAAATGAAAAAAAAAAATATTTAAGACAAAAAGAAACAATATAAATAAACATAGAGCCAATATTTAATAATGAAGTGTACTGATTTGATTTTTATAGTGAATAATTAATAAATTGCACACATTTCGGTTAAGATTTTTTCAGTAATAAGGGTTTGACCCATGGAGAGAGTCTTTCTATAATTTTTGTTCTGAATTCATGAAAAGTTAAGTTCGATTTATAAATAATGTTTTTACAAATCTGTAGAAATTTGAAATGAAGGCACGCGCACAAATTAAAAAAAAACTATAACGTTACCACAACGTCTTTGGATATTATAATATATATATATATATATTCAAGGGAACAAAAAGTAAATAACATAATAAATCAGAAATGCTGTTGACATAGACTAAGAATAGATAAAATATAAATTCAACCGTTGGGGTCCTACTGAATTCCTGAGAGGCCTTATGCAGATTCTAGAACATTGCAGCTGCTTAATTGAAATTGACTTGGACATATGAAGAGATAGGTCAATATAATTATTTTGTAGATTTATAGTTTTAGTAATGTGATGACTTAATTAATTACTTAAGTCAGTTATTGTTAACGAATTTAATAAATAATCTGAACTTTTTGTAAGCATTTTCCTGATTTATTTGGTTTAGTTAACGGGGCCAGAAATACTATGTTGTCAATTCACCTTAAAATTATGCAAAACATTTCCAAAATAAAAATGATGCTTTTCCAACTAAGTAAAAATTATTTCTAATTAAAGTAGAATATATTTTTTTTCTATTTATTTATTTATAGAGTATAACAACAATCTGTCACTTGGACATTAGTCATAATGAGGTAAGATAACATTTACACTATATGTACAAAAAAAATATAAAATAAATAGAAGCAAAATAAGAATAAATAACAATCAAAATACTTACCTAGCGTGGGGGTTACCGTGATCACAAAGAAGAATATAAATATATATATATATTGACTTTTGTTCCACTAGAGTGTATTCAGAAATATTTTTGAAATTGTGGGTTTCTAGAATATCGATTAAATTTTATCGCATACAGTTAAATGCATACAGGAACTTTACTAAATACTAAAATATTTATCGTTGATACGTTTTCCATTTACAAAATGGACTGATCTTTTGTAAATAATTTTCCGCAATGAATTTTTGATAAAAATGTGATGATTGTTTTGATATTCGAATCATAATTATAAAAATAGATATAGCTAAATATTACAATTAAATAATAATAAAATTCCATTCATTGCCAATATTACCTTGTACTGATGTGCAGAATGTGAGGACCTTATATTTCTCGGTCAAACGACGTATGACGTCTATCTGCTCTAAGGTTAGCTGAACCGCGTCCTTGAACTGGGACTCACATGGGACGTAAGCAGCCCAAAACTGTAACAGAATTATTTCATAATTTGTATTTTAAGTTCGTTTTGATAAAATCGAGCTCATAAGTTTAGCGATGTAAGTCCAATATAATTTGTTTAATGTGTCAATAAAAAACTTAAAAGGAGTTGTCTAAATTAGCTGTCTCTGAAATGATATCCATTAATATATTGCCTAGGAAGTATTAGGTTTACGTCTTTTAAATCTATTAATGTAAAGAAATTAGAGGATCAACATTGTAGCAAAGGTAGTGAAAAGCGGAAAAATAAATAAAATAAATTAGAAATTATAGATAGCTGTTTTCATTAAAATCTTTTAGACAAGGATTTGTGGAAAAAATTTTACTTCCTGTTGGAACCAACAAATATCTCTAATTTAATTTTATTTTCTCTTCATATCTTCATTTACGGATGTGAGTGAGAATTAGCAAATGTCATCTGGATTTGGTATTTCATACATGAGGAAGGATGGTACCCAGCAACACATTTTCCTGCTCTTTATTTAGTTCCTTAATTCATGAAATAGATTTCACATCCAGCTCCATTTCAGTCTCCTCATGATGGGTATGTGAGGCGGTGTTGCACAGTATACCGAGTAATGGAAAACCTGCTACATAGGCTAAAAAAAAATATTATAACTCTAAAAGCCAGTTAAACTCTTAGGCAGTTTTTGAGAATATTTTTAGTTGGGAGAATGAAGATTTTATACTGTTTTTATTAAATAGTTCAATTGAAAACCTAGCTAATTTGTGGAATTACGCGTGATTTGTAGGTTTTGAAAAACTGATGGTTGATATTTTTTTCTTAAAACTTTAGACACTTTTTACTGTCATTTTGCTCAATTAAAAAATATAATAATTCCTAAAACTTTTTTACTTCGGATTTTTTTCTTTTTCGTTAAGAAAAATAGATGTTTTTAAATCAAATTTTTACTAATACTGCGATTTTAAAGAAACCTCCGATATCCTCCGGAAAATTTATTTCTTACAACTTTTAGCAGTCATTGATAAAGATAAAATCGTATTAATTTAAACCTCCATAATCCGCCCGAAGATAGTTAAAATAAATTTATAATTATTTTTGTATGTATAAATGTTCGAACAGTGTCTAGATATGTACTTATATCTCCTATAACTAGACATGCTCTCAAATTTAGTTTTAAGCATTGTATTGAACATAAAGAAAATAAGGTTCAGTAGTTTGTTTCGAAGTACCCCAAACCAAAACAATAAAAAATAAATTCAATACTAAATCTTCTTTTTCATTGTTTTAAAATTTTTATTTTGTTTACCCAATTAAGAGTAAACTTTTATGTTATTATTTAACTGTATATAAACATCCTTTATTTTGGCTCTAATCTAAATAAATAAACAAACACAACATCGTTAAATTAACTAAAGTTTATAATTAAATAAAAGCTGGGTGCTCGTATAAGACGGCCTCAAGAAAAAAACAACTTTTATTTACTTATTTCACTAAGATTACTGTCTGTTAGTAATAAAATATGATTGTTTTCAATCCCTAACCCTTATTCTTTATAAATATTGTTATAATTTCATAACGGTAAGTTGAATCAGAGTATTTGGTTGAGCATTTATGACTTGATCTGCATCAGTTGTTGTTAATATAATATTGTTTTTTTTTATTGGTGATATTTACAACTGTATTACAAGTAAAAATACATATACAAATATAATATTTAAAATTAATTAAAAAATTTCATATTTTTTCATTGAAAATGTGAGAAAATATCGATGGTGTTCAAAGTATCATTATCGATGTTTTTTAAATTTATTTTTGTAATAAAAATAAAATAAAATGTTTATTATTTCATAAGAACTATTGAACAAAATGAATATTTATAATTAATAAACGATACGCTTTTTGAGTTATTACATATAAAAATAATTATATTTTGTGATTTATTGTGTTTTTAAAGTTAAGAAAACAGTTATTAAAATAACGATTATATGTAGTAATATAGACAATAGTTATAAATATTTACCTAAAATTATGCGTTTTATGAAGTCATTTTTGAAGGTAATTAATTGCCAAATTTAAAAGTTTCCTGTTTTAAAAAAAAGCTGTTATTTTTTTGTGTGGAAATTTTCTGATGTTGGCGTCATATTTGTGTTCATTGGACTTGAAAACATAAGTGTGCTAAATATCAAGTTAATCCGCCGTAAGTTACAAGTTCTAGGTCCATGTCCACGAAAACCCGTCTTTCCTTCCACTGTGTGTCGTGTAAAATTCTGATGTGTCGGTGTAGTTCATTATTTAAAAAGTAAACAGTACGCATGTGATGATCGATAGTAAACTTGCTGTTATTGGTATGAAAATTTTGTATTGAAAATATTGCAGCTGCATATTAAGTGCATCTTTTTTAGCTAATGCGTAAACCCCTTTTATCTAATGAGAAAAAATAAGAAGTTCAATACTGTGAGAAACACATTGTTTGAAATAGACATTTACACAGTGCAGTTGTAATTAACCACATAAACATGCCAGAACAACCACAAAGGAGAACAAATACAACGAGAAAGCTTAGTCACTCTAATGTGGGTTCATTGACTTCTTGAGAATATACGCCTCCATGATTGTTAAAGAATCATCAGGTCATATTAGAAACAAAATTTATTTTGGTGTGTTTCTATCTATACCATCACATACATTTTTTTTTTTTATTATTTTAATGGAATTTACAACTGTATTACATAGAGAATACAATAAGTAAATGAGAAATGTAACATGGCATGTACAACATGAAGAGAAACTACCCACTGGTAGAACTCAAATTAAAGTTCTATATTAGAAGATCCCGAGGCCATCTTCTTTTCAGACGCCTCGGAGGGTTATCAGGGTTCGAGGAGGAAGCAAGGTTTGAAACGAGAGGATTCGGATGGTTCTGCAGTTTATTATGGAAGGAAAGGTATCTGGATTGGGCCAGATCGGAAACATATGGAATATTAAGGTCTTTATGGATGATTTTATTTGTGACAAAGTAAGGAGCGTTGAGGATTTTACGAAGGATTTTGGATTGTAAGGATTGGATACGAGAGGAATTCGATGGTTTAGTGGAGCCCCAAAGCTCAATTCCGTAAGTCCAAATAGGTCTTATTATTGTCATATATACGAGTCGTTTATAATTGATTGAAAGCTTAGATCGTTTGTCTAGTAAGTGCTGCAGTAGTCGAAAACGTCGGGCGGTTTCTAGTCGTTTCAGTCTGGTATGGGGGTACATAAAATTAGGAATAAAAATTATACATTTTATGAACTTTTCGGAGCATTCCTATTTTTCACTTCATTCTACCTACCGATATACAATATAACCAATCGGAAAAAAATTCATGACAAATATTTTGCAGCCTGTGAAACTATTTATATATATTTTGGATCGGCAAATAAGTCCTTTTAGTTTTTGTGTTTATTTTTAGGTCACTATGATACACTTCTTATTTGATGAATTAACCCCTAAGGTGGATTGTATATCGTGTTTGTAATGTGTCAACAACTATATCTGTTAATTCTTGTTAAAGCTAGTTTAGTATTGTGTTTGCTATTGCACTGTGAATATGGAAGAAAATATCATTCATTATCGGCATATTTTGTTGTATTATCTTAAAAAAGATAAGCGTGCTGCAGATGCTCATAGAAAAATTTGCAGTGTTTATGGGGACGATGCCTTAACCGAACTCATCTGTCAAAATTGGTTTATCAAATTTCATTCTTGAAATTTTGACATCAATGATGCTCAACGGTCTGGTCGCCCACATGAAATCGAAACGAGCAATGTTATCCCGATCTGTACATTTCAGAGCCTTCGAGTTCGAAAAACACATTTTCAGCCATTGGTCTGTCTGTCTGTGCCAAGACTAAAAAAAAAATTTTTACTCGGGTCTTTTGGAATGTGATGAAATTTACCTACAAAACTACATACAAATTGTTCATTTCGGACAACTATTAACGAAGTTAAAACTATTTAATATTCTATGTAAGATTACACGTTCAAATCCCGATGTGAGAAATGGACGAAAGAGAGAGAGAGAGAAAAATAAAAATAAGTAAAAGTAAAAATAATCTGGTGCCCGCATCACGCAACTTTCACTCCCCCCTCTACTTTATTGTTTGAGAAATTTGAGCTATAGCAAAAAAAGTTTTTCATTAGTAATATTTGAGTGCATTGAATTTTTTACGCTGATCTTCCACAAGCCGTCGGTTTACATTGCTTTAGTTAATCAAAGAAATCGTACTCAAATTTATCCTTTGATCAATTTTCCGAAAAATAAATGTAATTCATTTCATTTTTTTTTTTGTTGACATATTTAAAGAAATAAAACCTTTCTGAAATACGTGGGAAAGTCTTGTGAGTGGACACACAGATGTTTTTGTTAGTAGTTAGAACGACTTTTGCCCCGTCCTCTGTAAGACCAACAGTCTTGCTATTACTTTAAGTGATGCGGTATTGTATTTACAACTGTTGAAGGGGTTAATATTACACGATAGTATTTTGATTTCTAATTTCGATTTGGGCACTTTCACATCTTATGAAACTCTGTTTTGACAATAAGTATTTTCGGGTATGCATATATACCCGATATATATATATGTATAATAATAAATAATAATAAGGCTTAGCGAACCCGAAGGTTCGATGCCGACACCACCAATCGCTTGTTACACACCTCCCTCCACCGTTCGCCGTCCAAACCCAGTTCCTTCAGATCGGCTTTAATGCAATCTTCCCACCTTCGCTTCGGTCTACCCCTCGGACGCTTACCATTCGGCACAGCAAATATTAACCTTTTAGGAATTCTCTCGTTACTAAGCCCAACATCTTTACAAGCCCATTTGATTCGCCGCGATGAAATTACCTCAATTATATTACCCGGATACAGCTCACGCAATTCAGCGTTGTGTAACCG